GTAATTAGTCACAATAATATGACCCATTGTCTTTTGAAAAAAGCAGGCCCTTAGGAGTTAGCCTAGTGTGGGGGCTGCTGAGTAAATCCCAGCCAAGCACAGATAGGTGAAGTTCAAACTTCCCAGTCTGAAGTTGAATTCAGGCCATTGTAACTTGTTTATATTGGTGCTTCAAGAAGTCACAGGGAAACTAATTTCCTGATGTGCTTCTAGCTAGAAAATTGCTATTTTAGTCTTCATGGGTTTGCTGATCTGTTCTTCAGGAAAATAGCAAGAAACTAAACACTTGGACTTAAACAACTGCAAACCCACAGTGAATAGATCATCAAAAAAAGCACGTGAGCTACATAGCCACAAGCTGCTGTGATTTAACCCCAGCTGGCAAGAGAGAGCTATGCAGCCGCTCACTCACTGACTGCACAGTGGGCTGAGGGAGAGAATCAGAAGAGTAGAAATGGGAAAACTCATGGGTTGAGACAAAGGCAGTTTAGTGTGTAAAGCAAAAGGTGTGCAGGCAGATGTTCAGCCATCTCCAGGAAAGCTAGGCTCACTCATGCCTAGCAGTGACTTGGGAAGACAAACGCCAGTTACTCCAAAAGTCTTCTCCTTTCTTCTTCCCCCACATCTATATGCTGAGCTTGATGTCCTATGGGATGGAATATCCCTGTGGTCAGTTGGGGTCAGCTGTCCTGGCTGTGTCCTCTAACAACTCCTTGTGCACCCCCAATCTCCTCATTGGTAAGGTGGGGTGAGAAGCTGAAGAGGCCTCAACTCTGCAAAAACTGCACAGCAGTAACTAAAATGTCTCTGAGTTATCGAAACAGTGTTCAGCACAAATTCCAGACACAGCCTCACACCAACTACTGTGCAGAAAATTAACTGCTGCAGCCCAAACCAGCACACAGGCTAATAACACTCAACCAAGTTGCTTTGATGATCAGAAGCAACAACTGCTAGAATTTGCTCCTTTCGATGTTTTTGTTTGTTTTTCATTTACAGAAAGCTTAGTTGTGAGGGATGTTTGTTCACCACATTTCTGAGAATCACAGGATTTGTGCGTTTTTTGGCTTAAGTTTGGAGCAAATGCTTTGTTCAAGTGCTCCTCCAAGTAGTGACAGCTATTTTTAAATAGTGTAGAATGTTTTTCTGATGAAAGGGTCTTGGAAATTTTTTTTGATTATATAAGAACTAACAGGGAAAGTTGGCTCTTAAAACACAGGGCTTACATTATGAAACAGAAAACAACCATAATGAGGAGGTGATGAAAGCTGGAATAGTATCCTTATCAACAGGTGGCCTTGGGCAGGATATACTGCACTATTTGTCCTATAAATAAGCACTGGATTAGGGAAGAGGCCTGCCCTGGGGAAAGATGCAAGGCTAACAAGGGAAGGTAATCAATCACTTCACAGTATCTGTCAATCTGTCTTCCATGTAAGTACTCAAACCAAATTTGAAAAGACATCTAGAAACCTTAATGGAACTTGGATCCTAGCCAATTTCTATAGCTTTTCTTGTAACAACATCACCAGATGCATACATGGGAACTCCACAGAAGGAAAAAACCACCAAAAGACAACCTCAGATAAAGAAAATTAAGTTAATTACTGTGATAAAAGTGACTGTGAAGTTTTGTGTACACCCTCACACCTCAAACCCAAATATTCTTCATTCTGCACAGGCATGCAGCATGGGAAGATTACACACCTGATTATACTATACACAGGGCCATTTCTCTCCCCACAGGGCTCCTGCTTCATAAGGGCAATGCAGGGATAACACACAACTGAGAAATTATTCCTTATTGTTCATGCCGGTTATTCAAACCATCCCATTCCTTGCTGTTCCAAGAAGAGAATGACCACATCCCTAAAAGGCCACTAATATCTATGGAAATCTCCTCAGTACAGTTCAGCTTTCAATACTGTTTCTCTGAGAAGCATCTGCAGTAATTAATAAGGTGGCACTGACGTTGAAGGAGAAAAGGTTAAAAATTAACCTAAAAACAAGCTATTCAGCATAGAAGTGGGAATAGGGTCAATGGCCTCCTCAAACACTAATCTCTGCTTTGGATTCACTACCTTGCCAGAGAATTTTGCATATCTTATCAACCCAGAAGTTGCAGGGGTTTGGGTGAGTTGTGCTTTAGAGCATTTTTTTCTCACCACAATGCAGCTTGTGGGTTAGGCTCTTACTCTTTAACTCAATACATAGAGCATTTACTCAGGATGTTTCTTCCCTGTAACTTTGTCGTTACCTGAAGGAATTCAAACTGGTCTTTCCTGCCTCCCAGGCAAAGGTTTTCTGAGATCAAGTTCTCAGTTCTTCCCACCTAAACTGTCCTGTTTTGCATGAGCTAGTTTCACATCTATAGAAAATGGAACCAAGAGAGTGTCTGTGGCTATACGGGAGGAACCACAACCTGAAAAGACAGATGTCATTCCAGTCACCTCCAGATAATGCTTGAATGGTTTAAATACGCACTTGAAACAAGATTTAATCCCAGATGAATGAATTCCGTGCTCATCTACTCTCAATCCTGCAATCCTGTCAATATGCCCAGTTGAGCCAATACAGAGTCCAGTCTTATACTGTCTCCTCCCTTCTTCTTCCTCCACATCTCAAATACCCTGGTACATAACTACATACCACAGTACAGTAAATATCTTACCCAACTTTAGAGACACCACCACACCCGATTACAAGATTGCAAATACTGGTTCTTGTAGGCCATCTAGTGGGGAAAGCAGAATACTCTGAACAGGAAACCATTTCAAATTTTCCTTCTTAAAGATGATTTAATTTAATGTGCAAGCTACATGGGGTTACACTGATGATCAATAAATGTTTTTCCCATGCAGCAGCAAATTTATTAGGTTTATAAGCCAGACCCTCAATAAGCTGACGGTATGCTCACAGGTTCTTTTTCTTCTTCCTCTAGCATTAATTCTAAAAACTATGTCAGGAGTTCTATATGAGCAATAAAAACAATATTGTACATCACTTAAAGCAAAGAGGAGGTCTAATGAAACTTCTTTAAAACAAATTTTTAAACCCTCACTTGTGTGACTGCCAGCCAATTCTAGGTTTGTATAGTTTGCTTCTCACTGGAGAACATGATGGAAGATGTCAGGTATCAGAAGGAACAGACACACGTTCTCATTTCACTGGACATTGCAGACAGTGATTGCTTTGCCTATGGTTTTAGGAGCCCTCAGAGCCCCCACCAGTGCTGCAGCCCCTTCCCACCTTCAGGAGAGTTTGGCTGCCCATGCACACGCAAGCTCTGATGCTCTGCACCTGGGATGAACCTGCTGTGAAAGGGCTGTATGAGAATGAGCTACTGGCAACCTTGCTGAAAGCTCCTGCCCCTTGATTCAGCAGCCACATTTAAGTGCATTTAAGCTCAGGCCTTGGACATAGGTACGAGCCTGAACTGTGCTGTGGCTATGTACGTGCTGGGCCATAGATCTCATTTTTCCTGAGCCTGACTTGCTAGCATGACCATAGCAAGTAGACACAGGTTGTAATCTGTACAGTAGCCTCCTGATTTGTGATTATCACTGATGGAAATAAAAATACAATGACTGTTAATGCTTTTCTGTGGTATCTTGCGAGAACAAAAACACACATCTGCTCGAATAAACATTTATTTCATGTATCATACAAAAATCATGCATATCATCAAATAAGGCTTTATGAGATAAAGGCTATCAAGCAAAGACACATACGAATTCATAATACATTAACTGATTTCATCATATTACACACAATATTCCTTATAGTTACACACTTAGGAACTAATTACTACCATTGCAGTTAGCATACATTTTACTTCCAAGATTGATCCCTGGTTTTAAGGCTAAATCCTGCCTTACCTACTTAGGCAAATTCTTTGAGCAATTACAAAGAACTCAGCCTGAACAAGAAGACTGGACTTGGTTTGGAAGTATCCTGACTGGTCTATTTATATGCAACTGTAGAGCATAACCCTCTTTTTACACTTGGTTCCACTCAATACAGTTAATAAAGTCACTTATATTAAAAACTATATCCACTCACTGAAGCTGGCTGATTTGACAAAGGTAGAAACAAGTTGTAATATCACATATTTAAGCCTGTAATTACCTGGAAGTGTCTTTGTGGTAGTCACAGTTAATGTTTCCTTATAGTTTTTTAACTGATGCATTTCACATTCTCTTATACAGCAGGTTTCATGATAAAGAACAATTCAGAGAGTCTTTTACTTGAAAAGCCTGAAAAACCTATCAGCTTTATTCATACATGGTACCTGAGAGTATAAAGTTCTACAAAACAAAGCTGAGGTATAAACCTGAATTCCTCATAAACTTCAAATCCCTATTGATGCCAACAAGAGTTTGGAAGCTGTGCTATAGAGGAGAGTTAGATCTGATTGTCTCACCTTAGTTCCTTTCTCGGACACCACAAAAAACCACTGAACAAAGTTTTCACTAAGTGTGCAGTAAAGCAAAGAAAAAAATTATCAGAGCATTGCATGCAACTGCTATTATCACATTATGTCACCTTTAATAGATTTCTCATATACATTCATCTGTTGTTTGAATGCTAGCTGCACTGAACTATCCAACAAAACAGAAAGAAACTACAGTCTTTACTAAGTTAATGGCAAATTACCTTTTGACTCCAAGTGAAAATTCTATCCAGCTACAGGAAAAGTCAGACTCTTTAAAGAAAAAATTGGGTTTACATTCTTTTAAATACAAAAGGAATGAATGTCTGCATCTCACATTTGCCTACTGGCTCCAGTTACTCTCACACAAATTCTTGGACTGAAATGAAAAGAATGGAGAGTGGAATCAGCGCTTAACTATGCCCTCCAAACTTCTATAATCTGATGCTTGCAATGCCAACTTCACACTGCATCCTCATATTTAGGAAGGCCTCACGAGGTATACGGACACCAAACAATGCTGAGTGTACAAGAGAAACAGTTTCACAAATGGGATATAACATGCTTCTTAGGCAAAAATGTGGGTTGTTTTTTGCTGTCATGCCTCTTTACCATTTTGGTCAATATTTGCAATGACAAAAGAGTCCTTGTCAAGAACTTGGTTGCATACACATATTTATGACAAACCCAAGAGACTCATTTCTCAAATCACTGACAGAATTTTACTAAGCAATGCATCTAAGTGTCTAGTGCTATCATAGTCCACAACATTTTACAAAGATATCTGTCATATTTTAAAATATATGAAAGCTTTTCCTTGTACTAAAGGTGATTACTTCTAAGTTTATAAGCATAATCAAGTCCTCTTTCTTCCCTGAAAAAAAAATGCATTTTTCTGTAGCTTGCCTTAAAGTGTGATCCAAGATGATTATTATGTTACTGACTGTAAATTTTTATATTAATGTTCCAACAGTACAGAAGATACACAGAATAAATCATTGCAAAAGAAAACTATTCTGCCTCTCTGTCACTATAGCAGATTAATTATACAATGCTAGCAAATAATTCCATTTATAAATAACAACACTGCACCTTTGACAAGATACTCAATCAAAAAAATAGGTTTGCTGAAATGCAGAAAATGGTCCTGTATAAACTGGAGTATAATTATAAATCAATTCTTTTGTTTCCTCATCTTCACTGGGGAAATGGTGCAGGCTCTTCCGGGCTGTAAAACATTGTAAAAGTACAGATCACTTTACTGTCTGTTATCCTCCTTGACAATATTTATCTTGGTAAAGTTATTTTGTGCAGCATAACAGCAAATAGAATTACAGTAACTTGTATGTGAAGAACTGTGAAGATACATCTTCAGAAAACTGGTTACAGCACATTTTATTACTGGGGAGGGAGAATTTAAGCCAAGACTGTACTAAAGTAGTTATCCATGAGGTACTGGCAGTATCTACCAGAAATACTAGTACTTGTAACACTGAAAGAAATGTATCAGAGTATCACTGAAAGCTGCAGTGTTAGCATGCACTGTGCTGGTGAAGACAATAAAAATTGAATCCTTGTCTGGTTTACCATGTTGACAAGTCTACATTAGTTAAAACTAATGATAGATACAAAAATGGTATTTCGGTAGAATGGTTTAGTCATTTAATGATCACAAATTAGTGTACTTTTTCCAGCTGAAAAGAGTTTATATTTTTCACCTGTGGTTTATTTTCAAAGTTAAGGAAGACATTCTGCATTACATTAGCTAAAAATGTCAATTACACATAGCAAAATTATGATATAAAGTACTCCGTAAAAGTACTTCACAGATCGGGGAGGTAGTGAAGAATAACTTATGATTTGACAGGTGAGATGGGGGATAGACACATACAGCTGGCTGAAGCAAGTTCACTAGAATTGAAGGTCAACAGATCCAAAAGCTAGTGGTATGTCTGCGTAGCACTATGCACACGCTCATTATGTATGTGTACACATATATAACTGAACTCCCATGCACTGTGTCTTAACAGGACTTACAAGCAGAGTTGGCACTTGTTTTGCCACATTTACTTGGCTAATGGCCTGAGCAAGCTTACTTCTGTTGGTAATACAGTGTGCAGAGAGGGACTAAAGTAGCAAACAAAACCAGAAAATGCACTGCATTCTACTATTAGACTGCAAAAGAAAAAACAGTCTCATACCATATTTTCTCCTTTATTTCTGTCTTAGTCTCCCATCTCACAGATTCATAGAATGATTTGGCTTGGAAGGGACCTTAAAGATCATCTAGTTTCACCCTCCCTTGCCATGGGCAAGAACACCTTCCACTAGACCAGACTGCTCAGAGCCCCACTCAGCTTGGCCATAAGTACCCTATCAAAATTCCTAAATTACAGAAAGCTTATGGACACTGACAAGGAAATTTATGTGGTGTTGCTACCTTTTTGCAAAGAGGAGTAAGACTACATTATGAAAAAAAAGTGCCTTGAACTTGAACTCAGTGCAACTTTTACTTCTACACTTCCCTTGATCAGGTCAGCACTAGTTGCATTACTTTGAAACACTGTCTCCTTGCTCCAATTAGTTTCTCCAATTAGGTGATTCCGATTAGAGATCAAGTATAGAGACTAAACTCAGTTAGCTTAATGATGGTGTTCTTCATAGTCTCAATCAATCAGGTAAGACAATTTTGTAAGTAGAAGAAATGGTTTAGTGAGGATAAATAAAGGAATAAAGTAAATTTGATCCCTTCAAATACTCCTGTATTTATATCCTGGTTATTTATAGCAAATAGACCAGAACTGTCATAATCTATCAAAACTTTATGCATTTAGTTACTTCCAGATTCTTAAGGTATAAACAAACAAAAGAGCATCTCTATAAAATTCAAAAATTTCTTGTGCTGTCTACAGTATACAACTTTTGGGCACCATATTGCACCCCTTTGACACATCCATATACTGCTCAAGCAGTATTTATAATCTTGGTGCATGCATTTTGCAAGCAAAATTGAGAAGACACTGAATGACTGTAAGCCAGTTTGAAACGGAAGAAACCTCTGGAATTATGAATGGAGTATTTTTTTGTTTTGTTTCATTGTCTTTGTGCAAGGGAGGTCAAAATGTTACAGTGATCATCTGAAATGGTAGAAAGTCACAGCACAGTGTTTTGGAGCCTGAAAAGAGTTCATGGAATGCTTGCCTTTTGATGTCACTTTCACTAAGCCATTCTATTTCTAGTATCCCTTGGTTTTTTATAAGCCTATAAAGCTTGCAGAGTAATCTTCTCAGAAAGCACTAAGAGGTACTGAACTTCGACAGCTGAAAGAGAAGTCCGTCATCTTCAAAGATTTTCACCGATGCTCCACTCTAAACCCCAACATTTATAGATAATAAACTTTTTACCTTCATTAACGAAGAAATCAGCCATGTAATATGCTGCTCTTACAGCAGCTGGGGAGTGTGGAATGCCTGGAGAATCTTTCCACTCAAAGGGATTTTTCTCTGGATGCCACTGAATGCCATAAATTGGATATTTGTATGCTGTAACAAAACACAGAGCATGTAAGCAAGGTGTATGCCTTAAAAATTATGTGCTCATTCATACTGCTAAAGAAACTCAAAGGATAAGCTACAAATATACCTCACTTATCAACAATTTCACAAAAGCTTAAACAGCAAGTTGAAACTGTTAAAGTCACAGAAGAACTGAAGGAAAATAAATAGATATTGTAAAAGAAGGATCTCATTCCATGCAAGAAGATATTTGTACATCACTTTTTTCAGTATTCATTTCAGAATTTATATATATATATATGCTTAAAAATAATGTTACATGTGTATCTGTCTCAAAACTTCCTATCTGCTGCCAGCATCACTCAACATTCAATATTCACAACCACACAGGATATTCCTGCCAGTTCCATGGGAACAGATCCAATTCTTAGTATCTCCTTGATGGCCCAGTCAATCCAGAGGCAGCTCAGCTCCCATCTGCTCTGGCCAGGCCTGATACACATGGTGGGGAAGTCAGTCCTTAACTCTCTTACAGAGAATAGCAACACAGCAGCTGATGACTGCTCTGTGATAAACCTTGCAGGCACGGGAGAAGTCTGTCATTAGCCTAATCAGGTCTGCTGATCAAAGTGCTATTCTTCTCTTTTGGAGGACAGCCAGTATGACACACAGAAGACAGCTGGGCCTTACTGTAGAGGTGCTGGTGGTGCACTGATCAAGATAAAGCACTTCCTGAAGAGCTAACTTGTTTCTTGAGCTGAGCAAGCCTGGTGCAAAGCATACACAACAGGGGGTAAGTAATGCCAAAGGCCTTTCAGAGAGGGCAATCACCAGTATTGCCGCTAAAGTAATGAAGGATGTTGCTGTTACCTCAGCAGCCTGAATTGTTCTTCCCATGCAGTAAACAGATAGAGAGCACCATGGGAACACAAGGCTAAGTAGACAGAGGGAAGGCAAGGTGGGACAGAGGCACACTGCACCGCGGAGGGATTAAACCACTCAGGACAAATGCTGTGCACTTCAGATCACAGCACTGAAACATGCCAGTGCAGAAGTGCAGCAGCATATCTGAAAGGGGAACAGCGGGTGAGGCAAGGAAGTAATCAGGCTCACAGATATGTACTCAAAAGATAAAACATCCCTGCAAACACATTATGCTCCTCAAAGCCACAGCACTGACAGGGATGATGCTCCCCTAGGAATCTGCAATATGAATTAACTTAAATGCCACAACACCCCTAAAGAATTAGTTTGTTACAGTCACAGTTTCCAAAGGAAATTAACTTCCCTACCTTCCATGGTAGATATAAACTCCAGTTCATCATCAGTGTTAGTGGTCAGAACATTATAGAAATCACGAAGCTTTTCATTAGTTGTGAAATTCTGTGATAAGAAGAGAGGGGAAATAAGGTGTTATTTGCCTATTTATTTCTAGTTAAGCAAATGTGTTTGTACGCAGGAAATAAAAAGATCAAATACCTCCATGGAGAGGCTCCACATATGGAAGTTTGATGTCAATGGCTCAGTAGCAAGTGCGTGTAACACATCATCAGGGAAATTCCTGAACAATTTGCTGTCTTTTGCAGCTATTACCAAGAAAAAACAACAAAAAAAAAATATTGCCCATTATTTAACCTGCTAACAGATGGACTACTACTGAACAGAAGACAATTGAACTTTGCAGTAAAACTTAATGATTTTTAGAAAACACTGCAAGAAAAAAGAGTGAAAAAACTACAACAGATTTTCAATATGCTGTTACCACTGTCCACTAGTCTTGACCCAGAGAGGATCCAACTTGCTACCCAAGTTCTCACTAAAATAAGCATCATTCTTTGACACTTATTTCAGTGACCTTTCCATTCACAATGAGCACAGATGGCAGAATTTGTGAATGTTACCTGGCGTGCAGATGGATTCCTCACAAAGTAAAGGATAAAGTATCAACAGAGGCCACATTTCACCACTGTTGCTGAGTACCACAGCTCTATCTCTGATTCCGATACTGTTCAAGTGGGACAGTAATGCTAATACTCATCGTTAGGAAAGATATGATTTGAAAAAAAATGTAAAATTTAAAATCACCTGCTCTCCAATTTTGATAGATTTTGAACCCATGAATTTTGTTCAACTTGGAAACAAAAAGGGCCCTAAATGGCCATTAATTTTGTAGGTCCAAATTATCAAGTGACTCAGAGTCACAGCTGTGGTTTTTGCTGACTGCTGTTGGTTTCAAATGGCTTGTGCTCACACCTCTGCTTTAGAAGTGATAGAGTTGCACTGACTATATAAAAACAGTCAAGGCAACTTAATAAGAAAGAATTTAAGAAGATAATCATCAGAAACCTCCCAAACACTCACCCTTGCATATTTATCATGAACAAAACACAACACTTCTCAGCAAAACACAGACACGAGATGTAACGAATTTTTCACCTGAGGTAAAGTTCAGAGGAAGTGAAAATCCATTTGTCTTGGTACGAACAAGTAAAATGTCACCACTTGTGAGATATGTAAGCTCTTCATGTCCAAGACATGTTCCCCATATGGGGAAATAGTCTCCTTTATCGTTAGCCTTCAAAATAAAAAGCAACGACATAAGGAAAAAGTAATGAAAATTTACAGAAAGAAGACTGACAAGAACTTCCTATTCTTTTCACTTTTTTTTGGGTAGGTGAGAACTATAACTACTACAGTAGCACAAATTGCTACCAGGGGAATTAAAACAGTTCAGTTACAATTGAAACAAACACAGGCTCCCACAGTTTTTCTCCTAAAACATGAAGGCTACAGTATATACACTAGCACGCTGAAGCAGTAAACTGAGCCTTATGTTGATACTAATTTGACTGTTCTGTTCTACAAGTAAGTAAGGTTGACAGCAGCATACACAGAAACAATAAAATGTCCATATGCCTGTGCCTACTCATTTGTATTAAGAAAACATGTTACTATTACTAGCATAATTATGGTCTTAAGTGACATACTTATATGCTAGTCTAACTAGCAGATTTAAACTTGTGTTCCAGAAAGACAAAATGTGAGTTTAAGCAACATTAAAAATTTAAAAAAAAAAAACAAAGTGGCAATCATTTGGAAGAGAATAAAAATTGGGGGGTCATAGAACTATTTCTCAGAGCAAGACATGGAAGATGGACAGAAAGAAGGCTAATAGTACTGCAGAGTCTTCATGACCACCTGTCAGGCATGGCTATTCACAAGGCTTACATGAAAGACAGTGCAGTTGTAAGTGAAGAATACAACCACTAAAGGCAAAAAGTAAACTAGTTTATAAACAATTACAACTGAACCATAAACATTCTGTGCCTCCCTCTACCCCTTTTGTTAAATAAACAACTGCCTGGAGGCTAAGTATAGATTAAACAAAACCCAAGACATCACATTTTAAAAGCTAATTTAAAAGATGGAAAACAGTATTTCATAGGTTTTTGCCTAGCTAGTAAAATTCTATTGATTTGAATGGGGGTTAGCATTTCACATTCTCTATTCACATTAAAATGGAGCCGGACCAAGTAAGTTCTCATTGTGAACATTTGCAAATGAAATGGACCCCTCATATTGTTTTAGAAAAACACAAAATTCAGTCAGTCATTCTGTACCTGCTAAGGTACTCTTGGCTATTGTAGCTTACCTTACATTAGTAAAACTCCCAATAGTTTATAGCACTAATTACATCTTGAAAAATGAAAATCAAAACTCACAATCAACACAAACAGCAAAGAAAAAAACCCCACTCTGACTTATTAGTAAGGGTTACCTATGACGAACTGAAAATTATTTTCTGCCTTTCACCCACCTGTGGTACACATATCAATTAGCAAACCTGGCTCTCCAATCATAAAATACACAATGCAGTTCATCATTGTGAAATGTTAACAGAATTTCATAATAGTACAGCAAGCCAAAAGAAACCCTTGTCCTAGTACCAAATACCAAGACAGAGGCTGCACTTGACACAGTGAGCAGTTCCAAAGAAACCAGTGAGATTAATTGCCTCACATAAAAGTGAAACAGTCTTTCCAAGACTCGGGTTTAAGGTGACAGACTAACAATCACCACGAATAAAGGCACACAAAAGAACAACAACATTAGTGCCATGGGCACTGAAGAGTAGGGAACTTGATTACTGAATTGCAGCAGCTGACTGGTCCTGTGAATGCCACTGCCTGCGTTTTCCTTGCCTGCTGGTGGGAAGTTGGCAGCAAGGGTAGAAGAGGAATTCCTCACTGCCAATGAACACTTTTGCCACAGTAACAATTTTAATACTACTCATAAATGCCTCTAGAAGAGGGCACAGTTTTCCAAAGTATGACTTCTGTGACAATTTTAATCAATGTTAGCTGGAAATAAAATAAAGCCACTAAAGAGGAGAAAAGGGAGAAAATGTATGTTTTTATTCAATTTGAATAAAGGAGATCCTTAACTCATCACAGGGATTGTATACAAGGCTCAGGGAACCTCCATGCCTTTCTGCAATGGAACTTCAAGATGTGTGATTAGTATCCAGAAAAAAATCACCTCTTATGCTCTAAGAGAATTAAATCTTCAGTAAGGATTCACAGCCTTCCTAATGCTCTTTGAAAGAAACAGCTTTCTCAGAAATTTAATCTTTTCTTAATAAAGCTAATGATCATATAAATATTAAAAGATAATTGATATAACTTCTCAAATGTTCTTACCATTTTTTTATGTGCTATAACTTAAGGTAGTGTTTACTTTAAAATCTGCTATATTTGAGTTACTAATGCAAAGAAATAGGTAAAATGGTATAACATGCTAATGTATATCCCTCATCTGCACCTCCAAAGACATATATACATCTTCCTACAGATGAGTGAGAATAAAGGTGTTTCACTTGCTGTAACACATATGGGAAGGGAGGTCTTAATGTTACGTTATTGCAAATTGGTTTATTTGAGAATATTTCCGGAATTCTTTCTGAACCTAAACTTTGGGCATTAGACTTCTAACAATTATTACATTTATGTATATCTTCATTCACTATTTAATGATACTATGGAAGGCATTACTGTTACTTCATTGCAAGTTCCACACTGTACTCAAGGCCATAAAACCTTGAGTACAATGAATAAATTACAGTGTTCTCACCTGAAGAACTTGGAAGTTTAAAAATCATAACACAACATATAACAAGAGAGACTGTCAGAAGTCTGAATCTTAAGCTATTAAATGACTTGTTTTTCATGCAGAAGCAAGAAATGAGCTATTTTCAGGCTTACAGTTAACACACTGGATGCCAGTGCAAAACTACAAAAAATAGGAACCTCCCTGTCATTTTGATCTCTGAGCAGTGACAATAACAAGAACAGCCTGTTCCTTAGTAATTACCTCTAATGCCTTGTCATAAAATATCTTAGCAACTCTCGAATATTCTGAAGTCTTAAGATCCACACCACCTCCTGGAAAAAGTACCCTGAAAGGCAACATTCAAGAATATGATTAGTAACAGAGATCAAACTAAAACTTGGACAATATACACATAGGTTTGATAGCAGTTTTAAGGGTAGGATTCACGTCTAGGTTTCAGAAATCTAGAGACAGGCATCTGTGCTTCCATATGCATATGGAAAACATATATCCATATGCATTATGGACAACAGGGATCTAACCAGGAAAGATTCAAAACAGGAGATTTTGAGATTCAAATAGAATTCAAATACTTTTTCTAGCGCAGACATGTAATCGATGGGTAAGCTGAACATCCCTGTCAGCTCCACTGGCTGTACTAGCACTCTGTTAATTATGCGAGTTCGGACAGCTAGTGCATATACAGACAGCTAAATTTAGGTGTTTCAGTCTTTAACTGAATCATATTCTAAATTTTAATGTTCTTCTACTGAAGAACGGTTACTATGACAAAGTAGTGATTGAGCATAATGCAATGTAAGGAAGAGGAGAGTAAACAAAAAATACTTAAAACATCCAGAATTCAGCTGGTATAAAAAGCATTGCATGCCATGACTTTGTCAAATTCTCTCCTCTTAGCTGACTCTCACTACCACTTTAAAATTCTGACCCCAATCTTAATTCATCCTGTTCACTTTCAGTAAAGAACTGCGGCCCTGGCAGAGTGACCTTCTTATCGCAGACAACACAGATCAAAAAGTTCCTACTAAAGAGAAAAATAAAGTGTGCTTGGTCATAGCCATTGGTCACACAGGATCCTATATAGCTGAAGAAAACAAAGCAGTCTCAGGGACAATTTCAAGGAAACAGTGCACAAGCTTTTTCCACCACAAAGAATAATCAGCAAGGGCAATTCCTTGTGAGGCTCCCCAGACCAAACATCACAAAAGCAAAAGATTCAGAACAGCCTAGCAGAGATTTCACATGTACAAATGATGACATTGAAAGTTATCAAGTACCATTAGGCACAGTAACATGAACAAAGGAAGTCTCTTCTGACTCTAACTGAAACAGTGGCCAGAGAACCAACAGAACTGATGTGTGAATGCTCCCTAACCCACTGCAGCACAACCTCAATTAGATTTACTCAAGTCATACCCATCAGTTGCTGATCTTTTACCAAAATGGCTGAAGGATTTCCTCTACATTTCTGTGCTCTGGAAATGTCAACCTGTATCAGTAAGATACTAACAAACAACTAGACATAACTAACATTTCAAATGATCCCAAGCATTTGCAGAGCAAGTGTGCATTTAAACCCCTGTGACCAAGTTAATTTTAAGGTGAATAGTGCACAGGATCATGCAAAAGTCACCAAGTAGTTGGTGGAAAAGTAGTGTTTACAGAAATATAAATCAAATTACTCTCCAGCGTCAACACTGAAAATTAATACAGATGAATGTATTTTCAAAAGAAGCTAGATTATAGATTTCTTCAGAGATCTAATTAGACAAATAAGGTGATCCTTACTTGGAAGTAGTGGAAAAGGCACTCCACCCGTTCCTTTTGTTCAAACAAAAAACTGGCCAATATTAATTAGGAAAAATGATTGTCATTTTTGCTAGTGCAAAAAGGAAATAACCCATTAAGTAGCAATGATAATTGCTTGATATTGTCATAAGCAGACTGAAATGCAACTACATGTATTCCAGTATCTCTGACTGGTTAAAGCTGATGAGCATTTCAAAGGCTACCTCAGGAATATATTGCTGGAGTCATAAAATTATTCTCTACTATAGTAAATGTCACTATTTTAAGAAGGTAGCATTTAATAAGTAATTTCCAACTGCAAAGAACCAACATGAAAGATCATTGTACCTCCTGTTTACTCTAAGTTTCCATAGAATGAAAAATCATTCCCTCCAGAGATCTTATTTGTTATTGACACAGTTATACTGTGGAAGTCATTAAGTGACAGTGGAAGGCTACAAGAGGAAATATAGACCATCCTTACTCACCTGCATAGCACAAACTCAACTGACAGTCACTGTGAAGATGGAACAACAAGGGAACTGAATCTACTTGCCTCTGATTCTGCATTGAGTTAGGTGGTGAGATAGAAAGAACAGGCGAACCCATGGGTCAAAAGTCCTTTTGGCAAACAAAGAGACACTGACAGCCATGAGAAAGGGATGAAATGATTCATTTTGTTTCCAACATGAGCCACAAGGGAGAAAGTATCACTGTCTTATACTTGCTTATATCACAAGACTGTAAAGACCCATGTCTTAGTGCACAGGGCATGCTGTGGTACGTAAGAGGACAATGCTCTCCCCAGACAGCCAAAGGTCTAAATCTGCAAGTTCTACACATGCTGATTAACAATCTAGTATATGCATAAGCTTAACAAAAAGATTCATGGTTTAAGATGCTCATCTCATGACTACAAGTAGCACAATCACATGCTATGGCCTCACACACAATCAAGGCTGTGAAGTGTAGCATCAGCTGATTTTACTCCTCTAAAGTGCACTTTCAGCACAAGGCTAAAAAACCACAAAAGGTTTTGACTTTGCTTAGTCCACAATTAAATCTGTTAAGTAAAACCACACTATCCCACATTTAAAAGCTAGGAAGAACGCATGGGTGGAGAGCTGCCATAGGTCACCTGAAATGTTAGAAAGTTTGTCTAAAAAAGACCTAAACCACAGAATTACAACAGGCAAGATGGGCCATTCAAACAGCCAGAGAGAAAAGAAGAAAAAAAAAAGAGAAGAAAATTGTTACTCATAGAGGAAAGAGGGGAAGAGACTGGAAATCAGAAACTTCTGTGATAGAGGAGATACGGAAAGGACTGGAAGAGGGAAAAAATTCTAGGAACAGGAATGAAATACTGTGCAAGTGCTATTAAACATTGAAATTAAAGTGACAGTTTGAAAGAGGAAGAGAGAAAAATTAACAAAGAAGAAGTGGGGTATTTCACTTCAAAATTGTTAATCACTATAATCCCACTTCTGCCTTCCTGCAGACAAACACAAGAGAATGTGAAGATGAGCTCTGGCACTTGCATATTAACTGACATATGTTCCTCAAGAAAGGAAAGGCAGCACACCAATATCAGATGTAAGAATGCACTCTCTGTCTTAGAACATATTTTCATGCCTGCAGTGCCCAGCACTATCGAGAGAGAGAGCAGAAACACAGTGTTCTTGGGAATACAGCAGAGCTCAAAACCAGAATTATCAAATCTTTCAACAGAAAAATCAGTGCTCAAAACTTACCCGTTAATAGAGTAGAATATCTTATCATATTCTTCATCTGTAAGATTTAATCTGAAACACCAAAAATAATTATAGATTACATATTAAACCACAAAAATATCATCATTACTGAACAGAAACATCAGGCACAGAAAAATATGTAGAAAGCATGCTTTGAACAAAATAAAACAGGCCCAAATCAGTTGAAATATTTAACTTGAGAGAACTCAATCCACAAGATTGACAATAGGGTCCTGCCAGGTACAGTTCAGAATTAGGTACTCTGAGATCCTTTTGCAGACACTGAAAAAATTTACCATTTACATGAATGGCATGGTTATTATTTCCTGCAGACCGGCAACTCCGGTTTCCAATTGACTCCAAGGAGGGCAGAGCTGCAAACAGTGAGTCACACCCATTCTTCAGCAAAGATATAGTTGAAAGGTGGAAAGATTAGAAAGACCTTAGTATCAACAAAACAGCAGCAAAACAGTGTGATGGTGTCATGGTTTAACCCCAGCCAGCAACCAAGCACCACGTACCCACTGGCTCACTCCCCCACCAGTGGGATCAGGGAGAGAATTGGAAAGGTAAAAGCTAGAAAACTCATGGGCTGAGACAAAGTTTAACAGGGGAAGCAAAAGCTGCACATGCAAGCAAAGCAAGATAAGGAATTCTTTCACTATGTGCCATGGGCAGGCAGGTGTTCAACCATCTGCAGGACAGCAGGGCTCCATCATGCATAGCAATGACTTGGGAAGACAAATGCCGTAACTCCAAATGTCCCACCCTCTTTCCCCCACTTTATACACTGAGCATGATGTCATATGGGATTTGGTCTTCCCTTTGGTCAGTTGGAGTCACCTGTCCCGGCTGTGCCTCCTCCCAACCTCCCAGTTCTGCACCAGTGTGGCAGTATGAAAAGCAGAAAAGGCCTTGGTTCTGAGCAATCACTGCTCAGCAACAACAAAAACATATTTATATTATCAGTCCTGTGTTCAGCACAAATCTAAAAGATACTAGTCCCATACTAGTCACTGTGAAGAGAATTAACTCTACCCCAAAACCAGCACAGATGGCTACACTTCTGCAGAACTCATGCACAGGGTACAAGTCAAAGTGTCCATCTTTGCTGCATCTAACTTAATTGCCAGAACTGGAAGTGTTCATTCATTGATGAAGCTTCTGGTCAACAAACACTCTGAAAGCTCCAGCAGCTACATGAGGAATGCTGGCTTCTAATTCAGACACTTAACTGGGGCTCATATTGAACTGTGTAGATACATCCTACACTGATTTGCTGCAGCTGCATTAGTATCATTTTTAAGTTCTGAGAATTATAATTTTATAATCTGATTTCACTGCATTTACTATTTCATAGCTAACTGTTGGCCATGAAATCAGTTCTGTTACTTACTCTTCTGTTTTTTACTCAGCAACTAAAATACAACACACGGAGTTAGTGACCGATAGTTCGAACACAACTGGACTTGGTTTCATTCCTTGAATTCCAGGGCTACAGAATGTGACAGAAGATAGTATGTATGTAAGTATCTAGACATCTACGTGTGTTTGTGGGGCACTACACATTAGGATGAATATAGCTAACTTCAAAAACCACACATGCAAACTACAGAAAGAAGTTTTACAGGTAAAAAATATTAGTACTTTCCAAAGAAAGTCTATTAACATAAGAAGAAATATTAAAACATATATGTTCCACTCTGCTTGTATTCTGATTCCTAAAACTCCCTGCAAATTGTGGCATCTTGAAATAGCCTTTGAGGAGCAACAAGCATTCAGAAAAACATCACAGCTGGTTTCTGTGCCTCTAAAATGGTACTATTACATAACAGAATTATTATCTGCTCCTGAGGATATAAAAAAATTTACCTTATTGGCACAGCTCGGGCACCAGCAGATTCCACAAACTTCACATACGAAGCTGCAATATACGATCTTCCGAATCTCTGGAACTCACCATAGTGACATTCCTGTGACAATATCCCTGCGGGTCCGGGAAAGAAAATTACCACCAAATAAACGGCAAATGCTACAGAGTGAAAGAAAAACTAAACTCCCATTTCCCATACGCCAGGTCAGAGCTGCTTTTTTTTTTTTTTTTTTTTTCCCCCCCATTTTTTTTCCC